GAATATACATAAATCAAGTCTAACTATCCATCTTGGGCTTTTGCAAGCCCATTTTTAGCCAACTATTATAACATTTACAAAACAAAGGAAAATAGTTTTTTTTTATCAATATGTTAATTTCATTATCAAAGGGAAAAAAACAACTGTACAAAAGTTACAACTATAGCTCCAAAAGGAGAGATCACTAACTGGAACACAAAAGGCAGCAGCTACAAAACGCTAGGAGAAACACCCAAAGTAACATTCAAGAATGGATTAAGATAGATGTAATTCCGAAGAAGGGAATGAGATCAGCCGGTTACGCATGATACGATCAACCGCCGTCTTAACAGAGACAGAGGAAGAAGTCAGAGAAGAGGAGAATATTCTTACATTCCTCTCCTTCCAAATTGAGTAAGCGACCACTTGAAGAAGGAGCTTAGCAATCGAGCGGAAAAGAACCAAAGGAGAGGTGCTGATCCGAGAGATCCAGGAAGTAATGGCATGAACATCACTTGGAGGATTTGGCCAAATGCAGGTAGCCAGAGAAATCTATAAATCTCTGGAGAAGGAGCAATCAAAAAAGAGGTGTGCATGAGTTTCTTGAGCCGAGGAGCACAGCACACAAATGCCAGGGACATCCATACTCCAACTACACAATCTATCCCTTGTTGGAAGCTTCCCAAGGTAGACCTTCCATAAGAGGAAAGAGAATCTGGGAACCCCCTCCTTACACCAAACCGTCTTTGCCCAAGCAACAGAAGGAGACACAGACTTAGCTGCTCCCAAGTTCCTTTGGAGGAAAACGAGTGAGAGAAAGAACCAGAGGAGGTTCACCAAATATAAATGTCATTACCAAGAGAATCAGAGGGAGTCGGGTGAGAGGCTAAGCAGAGAAGAACTTGTTCGGCTTCATCCGAATGAGCACTGCGCAAATTCCAGAGTCCATCCCTAACCGCCTCACAAACCCGAGCTTCTTTATGCACCCGCAGATGAGAGGGACCCGATTCACCAAGCCGCATAATAAGAGGGCCAAGATCAGTCCAGGAGTCAAACCAAAAGGAAGCCAGGTGACCATTTTTCACCTCACATTTAAGAAGAAGGATAAGAGTATGCTTCAACCGAAGAAGACTTCTGATATTCCAAGAAAACCGATGGCTATCCGGAGCTGCCCAGAAGCTTTGGGTGTTAAAAACATGAGCTTTCACCCAAGCTACCCACAAGGATCCTGATCTCGAGAACAGATTCCAGATGAGCTTCAGTTGTAAAACCACACCAAAGTCTTCAAGCAGTCTTATGCCAAGACCTCCTTCAGTCTTTGGCCTGCAAATGTCGATCCAGGCGATACATTTCTTGTTGTAGTTTGTGAATAATTTATTTTCGGATTACCAGTTTTTCTTTCGGCTGCATAACCTCCCTCCATCCCTTTGATTTTTCTTTTTAGTGCATATTTGTTCATCATCACGAAAAAACATTCTCATAGAATTATTATTTAATTGTGGTAAATAATATTTTAAAATAAAATTGAGAAAAACATTATTAGCATAAAGTGAAATCCAATTATAAAACATATAACATGTGTATCAAACATAAACCTTCATTTTATTTTCATAAAGCTTTAAAAGTATATGAATTTTTTATTAACTCTCATTTCTTCTTCAGAAAATAACTCTCTAGTATTTTCTTCATTATTTCTCTTATGAGCTATAATTATTGTACGATTTAGGTTTAGATGTTATGATTACGGGGTATATAAAATATTGGGGGTAAATTCTATCTTTCCTACGTAGACGAATCATATGTTTGTACGTAGCGTTCATAGCTTTTTTGTAGGTACGGCCCCAAGCCAAATTAGGATCCGTATTGAACGGTCCAATACGACCCAAGCATATATACCAATGGCCTTCGAATCAATCAGTTTCGGAAGACTCGACATAAAAGCCACTCATTTCCGGGTTTCTGATAGTGAAGGCCACGCTGTCAGGAACAAGGAGGTCAGGAACTGAGTGGTCAGGAAAAGAAGAGGTTGCTTTTTTTATGTCCTAGACCTTTGTCAGTGATCTAGAAGGGTCGAGATATAAGGAAGTGTAACCCACACAAGTACTCGGGAAAAAGCGATAGCCAGCGATACAACCTCGACAGCCCGGTCCTAGTATCAAAGGAATCTAGGCCAGGTATGAATATCTTCTTAAGTGGGAACACTATTCAAATTTTCCGACACTCAACAATTGGAATAGAAGCTTGACTAAATCGATTGTCCATACATTTGTAAACCCACGAGATCAACATTTAATGCACATTGCGTATACATGTGATAGTGACCACACACGGAATACAGAGGAAGACAGAGGCTTAGCAAAGGCAATACCGCGTCTAAACCGTCCAACCTAAACAGTACATTGAGAGTGAAAGGGACACACAAGGGCTGGTCTCGCAGCTAGCAGAAGATGCTAATGGAAGTTGGTGAGACCGTCAGATGTATGATGCAAGCAACAAGATTCGGATCCAACCACACTAGATCCAGACTAACCCGCTAACTCGACAACCCGAGGTCCGACCCAATATACTAATTTGGATCAGATAAAACTCTATAAATACTTAATCTTTTCCAACGAAAAAGAGTTCAATCTCTTTGCTACATTTAAACTTATGTTATCTCTCTAGATACTCGTAACTCAAAAAGCTTAGCACTCTCATTTTCTGGTCATCATTCTGACCACTTGCTCTCTTACATTCCACTCCACGGTGGTTCCTAAACTTTGGAGCATTTTCTCCCCCAAACTTTTACACTTCTTCTATTTTCCACCTCAAAAAACCCACTATACATAGGCCCAAGTAGATTTATCATTTCTTAAAAGCTCTTTGCCCGCTTTCTGTTCTGTTTTCCGATATTACTTTCCTCTCTCTGATTTGCGACTTAGTGGTATTTTCTGTTACTGTTTTCTGACTTGAGCATCGAAGAGCCATAGAAAAACGCTCTACCATCGTGTTTTACGGGTCTTCATGTTTCTTCTTGTTTTGTAGGAGACTTGCTCCTAAAAAGACTAAAAATCCCCTAAATATGAAATATGATCATTAACGATAGGAAAAAAAATTGAAATCATTTGAAAGATGGTTTAGGGGATGATTGGTGGCTGTAGGGTTTCCACAGTCAAAAATATTTTTACATTATTAAAATACTTACAACTCAAACTTTAAAATTAAATTTATTTAGTGTTCTTTGAATCCAAATTTCAACAGCACAAATCAGTAGGCTTTATTTTCTTTTCTTTTTTTTGTATTTTTTAATATTTTTCTCATTTAATATTTTCTACAACTGAAATTTTACAGCAATAAAAATGTTAAAGCCACAACCGAAAAATCTACATCATAATTTTTACAGCAAAAGATCTAAAACCACAACTTTTACTAATGAAGCTTTAAATTTTGGGAGAATTGTTTATATAATGCTAATTGAAACCAAATTTGTCCCCTTAATGTTTTGTAGAAATAAATTCTCTCTTTAATGTTTATATTAATATTAACTCAGTTTTGCCCCCCAATTTTTGAATTATTGATTATTACTATATATTTAAAATTTAATAATTATTCATTCAAAAATAAATATAGAAAACAAGAAGCAGTCACCATTATCATCTTACAAATGGTTCATGTAACACATCCAACGGATTGCATACAACAATCAATTTTTTTTTTCTATGCCTCACCCTTAGTAAAACTACATGTAGATATCTGAAGAAATGTTTCAATTATCACTATGTTTTCGATGATTTCCATGAACCACAAGTGACATAGATATGTAGCATATATTAAACAGAAGATAGGTAAATTTAGAAAAAATCTGCTAGATTGATGGGAAAGAAGAAGAAAAAAACGATGATATAAATTTTTTTTCAAAAAACAGATAATAAACGTGGAAACATATTAAAATATTTTCAACATTATTTAGATCTGAGTTAACTAGTTTTTCTAGATTTTGGTAGAAATTGTATTCTACGTTAATGTAGAATGAAGACTATATGTAGAAAAACTGTTCTACAATAATGTAAAAATTGATTTAATAAGTAAAAGATGTATTCTACCAACATGTAGAATATAGTCTATCCAGTAGAACGTGTAATCTACCGTAATGTAAAATATAAGTAATATATAGAATTCATTTTCTACCAATCGGTAGAGTATAAAAAAAATTATAGAAAATAAATTCTAAATACTTGTAGAACATATAAAAAAAACTATAGAAATGAGATTCTATGTGGACGTAGAACATAAAACACACATTCTACTATGTGGAGAACGAATTTTAAAAATAGATTTTAAAATTTTCTTCCTTAAATGATATTTAAAAATATTTGTATTTTTTTTTTTTGGAATTTCCGAAAAATTTTAAAAATAACTTTAAATTTATTTTTTATTATAATTGTCGTAACTGTTTAAAAAGATAACTATATCAAAAATGACAAAAAATAGAAAACATTAAACAGACAAATATTAATTGAATTGGCATTATAAAAACAATCTCTATAACATATATTTAAATAGAAAACAGGTTACAAAAACTTGTAAAAAATCCAAACACGTGTGAAATATTCCAAAATATTATTATAATTTTGTAATATTAGTGGAAATATATATAGAGTAAGTTGTCATTTTATTACTGGTTAAGAAGATGTTTGAGGAGACCCACAACTTCGCAATTAACAAAAAAATAAAATATAAACCATCACTGAAATTTCAAATTTTCCTCTATTGTTCATAGCGAAATAAAACTAAGATACAATTTTTTGGGTGGGTTTTGGTTCGGAAGAGACTTAAAATTTTGAAGGTCAAGTCATTTTCATGTCAACGAGTGGAGTTTTTAAATGTTTTCTTCCTTTAAACCATTTGTCTGTTAATTAATTTCGTTTATATGATAAAATAATCAAAATAATCATTTTTCTTCTAACTAATTTCGTTTATATGATAAATATTCAAAATAAATAAGAGGAATCATTATTATTTTAATGACGGCATAAAAGGTTTAATTTTTAATAATTCCACTTGCTGGAAAAGTCATCCACCTGCTTTTACATCATCAAACCCTTTTTGAGCTTTTCTCATCTCTCTATCTCCGATGTTGAGAAGAAGACAAGAGTCAAACACACCAAGCGATATGAAGACGACAATCGAAGCATCCATGGCCGTTTCTCTCTCTTCCTCCAAACCTTAATTTCAATTTCTCTCCTTATCCCTTTTTTCATATCGAAACATGGATCTCTCCGACGGCGCCGCCGCTAGAGGAGGGAATTCTCGGCAGCTAGTTGATCCTTCTCTCTCAATCGTTCCCAGATCTACTTCTCTAGAAGACGACACACTCGCTACAACCTCATCTCCGGCGGTAACGACGACGGTGACTACGAAACGGTCGACGAAAGACCGTCACACGAAAGTCGACGGAAGAGGACGGCGAATTAGGATGCCGGCTCTTTGCGCCGCTAGGGTTTTTCAGTTAACGAGAGAGCTTGGTCATAAATCCGATGGAGAAACCATCGAGTGGCTTCTTCAACAAGCTGAACCGGCGATTGTAGCTGCTACCGGAACCGGAACCATACCGGCGAATTTCTCATCTCTTAGCGTCTCTCTACGAAGCAGCGGATCGACTCTCTCTGCTCCGCCGTCTAAGGCGGTGCCTCTCTACGGCGCTCTCGGACTTAGCCACCACCACCATCAGTACGAGGAACAAGGAGGAGCATTTGGGGCTCACACACCGCCGCTTCTAGGGTTTCATCACCATCTTCAACAGCACCAACACCATCAGAATCAGAATCAGAGGTTAGATCAAGCTCAAGAGGAAACAATTCAAGGAACCGACGGTGAGAATTTCTCGAGAAAACGGTATAGATCAGAAAAGGAAAACGATGATCGGAAACAGAACGAGAACAAATCCTTGAAAGAATCCGAATCTCCGGCTTCTGCTGCGGCGGCGGCGCCGATGTGGGCGGTTGCTCCGACGAGTAGAGCCACCGGTGGTAACACCTTTTGGATGCTTCCGGTACCGACAACCGCCGGGAATCAACCGGCAGCTATGGAGAGCAGCAGCAACACCAACCGTGCACATATGTGGCCGTTTGTAAACTCTGCCGGAGCTGTAGCCGGAGCCGGAGCTGCGACTCATTTTATGGCCGGAACTGGGTTTAGTTTTCCGATGGACCAGTACAGAGGAAGTCCACTTCAGTTAGGTTCCTTCTTAGCTCAGCCGCAGCAAGCTATGCCGGACTCGAATCTTGGGATGTTGGCCGCTTTAAACGCGGCTTATCCGAGAGGTGGAAACGCGAACGCAAACCCAAACGCGGAACAGGTAAACAATGCGGTGGAACATCAAGAGAAGCAGCAGCAACCGCAACAGAGCGATCCGGATGATGATAGTAGAGATGGGAACTCTAATAGCGATTGAGCGATGTTAAAACTGTAATGTTATGGAAGCGTTGCGTTTAATTTGGTGAGAATTAATTATTTAGCGTTTGTAGCGGTTTGGTTGATTGTTTGTTGTGAGATTTGTCTGTTTTGTATTGTAGGCGTTAGTGTGTGAGGGAATTGTTAGGTTTGGGTCCAAATGGACTTTGTGGGAAGAGAATGTTTTCATTGTATAGGAGGAATTATAGGACCCGTGATTTCTTTTCTATTTTCTATTTTTCATTTTTAAATTTTTCATTGTTGGTTTTCTTATATTTTTGTAGGACTTATTTTGCAAACATTAAAACAAGAAGATTTCCGCCATATTTGCATTTAATCGCAATTCCCCTATATGTTTTTCTCACATTTTATACAACCAGAAGAAACACATTTGAGATGTTTTGGGATGTTTTCTTAAGATGATCTTAGTGGTTTGAGAGTGGAGACATCGGTATCATCGGTGCATATGAGTTTTATAATTATTTTAACATGTGCACAGTAGGGCTGGAATTATTATCCGGTATCCGATCCGGTATTCGGTCCTATCCAATCCGTAAAAACTGAATATCCGTGGAGTTCAAATCCGGATCCGGATAATGAAATTAAGTATTTGGCTATTTCGGATACGGATCCGGATAATAAAAAATTTTGAATCGGATATCCGTTATCCGTTTATTAAGTATTTATTTATTTTGATAATATTTATTGAAATTCATATTGCATGATAATTTTCTATTTTAGATTGTAAGAGAAGAATATGAAAATGGATAACACATGGATATGAAGATAAATTAACTTCTCTATTACTATTTTCTCTTTTGCTATGTAAACTTTTAAATTTTGTGTTATTTGAATGCTACTTGAATGTTTTTTAATTTTTGGTATTTGTAATTTTGGCTATGTTGATACATTTTAATTATATATGTTATCTCATTATAATTTTTAAAAATGGAAGATTTTTTTTTAAATCAATAAAACTGGATATCGGCCGGTTGGATATCCGTAAATATTGGTTCAAACCGGATATTCGGAGATGGATATCCGAAGTTTTTGGATCCGGATCCGGATAGTAAAATTGGTTATGTGAATCCGGATCCAGATCCGGATACCTTGAAAAGTCCAGATATCCGGCTCCGTTCCAGCCCTAGTACATCACATCGATTATTTATTATTAATGAGTTGGCAGAATTATAAATTCAAGATGATACTTGACCCGATAAATAAAGAAATTCAAGATGATATATTATAGAAATAGTGGTTAATGAAAATAAAAACAACCATCATCGGATTCGATAATTTTAGGCGTTTAAAATAAAATTATAAAATATTATGTTTATACTAAATTAAATGTAAAATAAGTTTTTTTTTTGTATTTTATTTTGTCTAACATTTGTCTTTTCATAGATTTTTTTTGGTTCTAAGATTTCATTTCATTAATTCAGAGTTCATCTCCCGTGCCTCAACCTAAGCTGCATGGAATCAGAAGCGGAATCGCGGAAGCGGAAGCGTTTGGAAGCGCAAAAGCGGATTTTTCAAAAAAATTAGGAAGCGGATACGTGTTAGAAGCGTTTATATATATATATCATAAAACACCTAACATAAAATAATATAAAAATAATATTTTAAACTTTAAATAACAAAAATCCAATACATAATAGAAATATTGTAATTCAACTAATCATAAAAATAAAATTCAAAATCACACGTTGATATGATCGTTGTCATTCTCATTTTCATCAACTCCATCAAACATAACTGCTTTCACACGGTCGAATCGTCGCTTCCGTCGTGATTCCAAATGTTGTTTTTGGGGAATCGTGATTCCGAGATGCTTCCGTGCGATTCCAAGACACTTCCGATTCCAAAAGCTTCTGAAGCGGGAATCGCATATCGTACAACGCGTCCATGCTACGTAGGCCTCAACTAGGTCTCTGAGAGATAGTTTTGCGATCGAGCCAGCCATTAAATTGGTTTCCCAAGGGACATCATTCAAATGTCAGTCAGTGTTCCATAGATTTCGGAGATCTGTTTTCCTCTGATGATCGTTTGAATCAGAGATTGTGAATCTGAGAAGATTCCTAAGTACAAATAGCCGAGGTCGATGGCTTTATTCAGAGTTCCCTTAATTGCCAGGGCTTCTGCTGCTAGGGCTGAAGGAACGAAGGCCAGCGTACCGGATCCTTGAGTGGTGATGCTATCCCCTTCTGATTTGAAGATCCAGCCCATTCCAGCTCCTCGCATATCCTCTCTCCATGCACCAGCCGTGAAGCACTTAATCAATCCTTGCGGTAATTGAGGCAGTGAGCCTCTTCTCTTTACCTTCAAATTGATTTTCTTCTCTGGTTGGGCAGATTGCCACTCTCGTGCTCCCTTGATGGCATATATCATCGTTTCATTTGCAGAAATTTTTTTTTTGTTGAAGATTCTGTTGTTCCCCGCTGTCTAGAGATTTTATAGGATCCACGGGTATATAGGTCCAGATCCTACTCCTGTTGGTGGAAGGCAAGTTATTTCTTTGAGGGATATAAATCCCAATTGTAGATCAGTGAAGAGCTGGGTCGATAGTTGTTGTCGATGGGAGCAGCTCCCATACCTCTTTTGTAAACTGACATGAGAAGAACAGATGATTGATTGATTCATGCTCTCCACATCGAATGCAATCCGAGTGTGGGATGATTCTTCTGGTGACCAGGTTTTCACCGACAGGTAATGCTCCTTGCAGTGATTTCCATAGGAACAGTTTTATCTTCTCAGAGAAAAGTCATTCCCATATTTCAGCTTTCAAGCTAAATTCATTGCTTTCAAACTGACGTTGGCCTTTTGTTCATGTATGTGTTGTTGTGGAGTGATACCCAGACTTGGCGGTATACTCTCCTGATGATTGCAGGAGCCAGATGTGTTTGTCAGTTCCATCATATGCGCTTGGCCTGATACATCGGATTTCCGTTTCATACTCAGGTACGATTTCCCTTATCAGGTTGACGTTCCATTCCGTTGTGTTGCTTACAAACAAGTCAGCAACTTTCATTCTGTATACATTTTCTGAAGCAGGGCTGATGGGTAGACCTTTGTGGTTGATATCCAATTGTCTTCCCACAGGCTCGTTGAGTTCCCATCGCCAATAGCCTTTCCCATATTTGCTTAAGAGATCTCCCCCTACAAGAATTCCACGCCACCCATGGGAGATTGATTCGGATGGTTGAGCTTCTAGCAGGTCAGTTGATGGGAAGTATTTGCCTTTCAGAATTCGACTAAGTGGGTTTTCTGGATTAGTCTGGATGCGCCAACTTAATTTGGCTAGGAGGACATCATTAAACCGTTGAACGTCTCTAAACCCAAGTCTCTTTCATTCTTTCCTTTTGTAAGTTTGTGCCAAGCCACCCAGCACTTTTTTTTTCTCTTCTGGGTTGGCATCCCACCAGAATCTAGTAAGACTAACTGTATTCTTTTGCACAAACTGACATGGAGTTTGAAGCAAAACATCACATGAGTAGGCATTGATGATAATACAGATTTGAGAACGATCATTTTCTCGGCACTGGAGAGAAGGGCCCAGGAAATTGATCTCTGCTGTATTCTGTCTACAATTGAGCTGAAAATGTCTTTCTTTTACCAGCCAAAATGCTCGGGCAAGCCCAAATATTTCCCAACTCCCCCTTCATTTTCAATACCAAGTGTGATCTTTGATCTGTCTTGGATGTGAGTTGGAGTCTTTCTAGAAAGTAATAGCTGACTTTTGACAGTTAATCGTCTTCCCTGAAGCTTCCTCGTATTTTTCAGGATTTCCAGAAGATGCTTATAGCTTTTCATTTTTGATTTGCGGAAAAACATTGTATCGTTAGCAAACATGAGGTGGTTAATCATTGGACTACCTCATGTGACTCTTACTCCCATAAGTTTTCTCTTTCTCTGCGCTGAGTTGCATAAGCCCGAAAGAACTTCTCCACATAGTATAAATAGGTAGGGTGATAGAGGGTCCCTTTACCTAATCCCTCGAGTTGGTTTGATCAATCCTCTTGCTGTTCCATTGATTAGGACTGAGAATGAGACCGTTGTAACACACTTCATAGTCCATTGAACCCATATTTTGTGAAAACCCATTCTTTCAAGTACTAGCTTGATGAAATCCCATTCAATCCTATTATAAGCCTTTGTCATATCTGTTTTTACCGCCATTGCACCCCTTAATTCTGCCTTATATTTTTTTAGAAAGTGTAGGATCTCATATGTTATCAACACATTGTCAGAGATGGCTCTTCCAGGAACAAATGCCGATTGATTCTCTGAGACATTGTCTAGAATGGGATGAAGTCTTGCGGTGAGTATCTTTGATATTATCTTGTAATACACATTGCAGAGTGCTATTGTCCTATACTCTGCCACTGTCATTGGTGAGTTGACCTTCGGAATGAGACAAATATGGGTGTTGTATATGTTTTGTGGTAGCTCTCTGGATGAAAGAAGGTTTGAATCTCTGCAATAATGTCGTTTCCCATTATATCCCAGATACTATGATAGAAGCTTGCTGAGAAATTATCAGGGCCTGGTGATTTGTCAGGATGAATAGAGAATATGGCTGTTTTGATTTCCTCGGAGGTTGTAATTTTGATCAGTTTTTCGTTTGTTTCAGGTGCGATGCAAGGCTGGATCGCTTCTTCCAGTGTTTCCTTTCTTCTGCCCACTTCAGACGTAAACAGTTTTTGGAAGTAGTCTGTAATAGCTTCAGTGATCTGTTCCTTCTCATATACTGTAACGCCTTCCGCATTTTTAATTACTGCAATAGTATTTCTTGCTCTTCTTCCCTTTGTTTCAGCATGGAAGTACCCACTGTTTTTATCCCCCAGGTTTAGCCACATTTGTCTACTCCTTTGCCTCCACTATTCCTCTTCAGCTCTATATGCCTTTGTTAGATCCGAGGTTTGTATTGTCACCTGAGTCAGACATGGCTTTATCCAGGTCTTTCTTCGTTTTTCTCAACTTTTTTTCGACTATTGATATGGTGCTCTTTTTCCACTGAATTATATGTTTTTTATAGGTTTAAAAACGAAAATTCGGCCCAAAAAATCCCAAACTTTCTACATTTTGCCAAAAAAGCACGAATTGTCAGCGTAGCTAAATAAATACTCAAATTTTGTTGACTTTCATAAATAATGACAAACTTTTCGTTGACTTGCCAAATCAGCACACCGTTTATAGAGTTAACAGAAACGGTGTGCTGATTTGGCAAGTCAAAAAAAAATTTGTCATTATTTATGAAAGTCAACAAAAAATGTTTATTTGGCTAAGCTGACAATTCGTACTTTTTTTGGTAAAATGCGGAAAGTTTGGGATTTTTTTTTGGCCGAATTCTCGTTTAAAAACCATGAAGTTTGAGTTTAATTTGAAATGAAGAATGATCTATTTTCCCCTTAGAACTATGATTAAAAAAAAATCATTTCTACACAAAGTTTAATCCTCATTCCAGATTCATACGACATACTGCATGAAAGTTAGATCTATTTCTCTTCCATATAAAAGTTCGAAGCTTATATCCTAGTGGCAACTAATTCTTATGCATACCAATTCGTATATAACCACTCAAAACACGAAATAGGCATGGGCATAAAAACAGAATCCGAACAATTTAACCAAAACTGATTCGAAAAATTCAGTTCGGTTTGCTTAAAATACCCGATCGGTTATTGAGCCAGAGTAACTTCAGGTTTCGGTTTGGTTCGGATAATAACAGATACCCGAAATTACATTTGATAAAACCGAATCTGAGAAGTATTATTATCTATTCTCGGGTTTAGGTTTTGGTTTGGTTCGGGTTTATCAAATTTTTTTCTCAGATTTTATGATTTTATCCTTGGAATTTTCAGTTTTTTTTGGGTTATTTGGTTGTTTCCGGGTGTATTTTAACCGAAAATCCAAAAACCAAATTTCTTCGGTTTTAAATCAGATTTGAAAATTGCTATCCAAACCGACCCAAACCCGACATTAACCGATCTAAACCGACCCAAAATTTCCAAATTAACCGAATGGGTATAATTGCAATATCCGAATACCCGAATACCCGAATAACCTGACCGACCCCGATCGGATACCTGATGCCCAGAGCTACACGAAACAAAACCAACACTAAACCAATTACAACCCGATTTAGTAAATTAACCAATAATAATTGTTACCCACCTGATAAGTCACCAGATAATCTAACTGAAACCCATAAAACCAAAATCTCTAACTCTAAAAATCTCAAATCACAAACCCTAAAACCCAATGAACTCTAGTTTTGATTTCAGTGATTTCGAAGTTGAGTGGAGCAAAATAGAGTGCTTGTTACACGATATCGGCAATGTCCTTGGTCGAGTGGAACGATGTGCCGAAGGTTGAAGAGGATTGTGACATCCCCAGAATCCCATTAAAGGCAAAAGGGGACATTTGCTTGGAAACCCCTAAACCTAGGAAGCCTCATCACTTGCCCTATATATATAGTGAACTCGAACAAGAAGCCAGAACAGAGAGATCAGAGCAGCGAAACCCTGCCGGAGTCACGCTTGAACAGCCACCATCAAAACACCTCGAAGGAGAAGCCACTGCAGCAACCTAGAAGGCTGATCCAATGTGTTCTGGCATGAGAGATAATCGGTTGGTAAAATCAGATTAGATCGGCATAAAACTTTTTAACATGATTCTAGACTCTCATATCTAGCTATAGCCGAAACCGGATCATTATTTGGAGTTGTCTTCTAAAAGTTATGAGTGTTTTCCCGAGCCATATTTACAAAGATCCGATCCGCCAGCAGCCAACTTGCGATGAGTTTTGCCAGAGATCCAGGGAGGTACAGGGGTCCAGAAGACTATCTACATACCAGCATGAAGATCTTCAATCCAGAATTTCAGATATCTTCCGATATCCATTCCAAGCTGTGACCAGAAAGTTATGATCATTTTCATGTCGTGTATCAAATCTGTCTAAAGGCAAATCGGGTTCGCTATTCCTCTTCAAGTGGCAAATGTGAGGACTAGGTTGTGGATTCCTATGATATATTAGATGAATTATTAATACTTATATGTTTGGTATATGATGTGGTGTGTCGTGTGTCGAGGGTTGTCAAGTTTTACCCTAATTGAAATCAATAGCCGAAAGTGCACAGCTGATCGATTGTAGTACTTAGGGATCGAATCCACAGGGAAGGAGGACCTATTCCTGCAAAAAGCCTTTGAAATAAGTATAAAGTAAGGAAGTCTAGAACCAAAACGGTTTTGTGGGGGTTTGGTAGTGTGTTTAAAATGTAAAAACGAAATCTTAAAAGAAAATACGGGAATTAAATAACCTAATAACTAAACTTAACGAAAATGAATAAAAACGAGAAAAACGGATATTCTAATTGCTTAAATGAAAA